AAATTCACTTAACATTGGAATTGCTAACAGTGTTACCTACCATAGAGTTTATGCTTTCAGAGCATTTTATTTAGAAACACTTTTTGTTTGTTTACTTTTTAAAAAATATTTTATTTAGATAAGGAAATAATGTGTGTTTTTATTTTCAAACATAGTTTGATAGATTTTGTGTGTGCTTTAGAACTTGCTGATAGAAAGTAAAAATTTAAAAAACAACAAATAGTCTAGTAGCACCTTAAAGATTAACAAAACATGTAGAAACAAAAGAAAGGACTATGTAGCACTTTTTAAAGACTAACAAGATGGTTTATTAGGTGATGAGCTTTCGTGGGCCAGACCTACTTTCTCAGATCAAATTCTGGAAGAGAATTGGCAGATCCATTAATGCAGGGGTCCCCAATACAGTGCCCCAATGCAGTGCCTGCGGGCACCATGGCACCCACTGGGGCATTTAAGTGCCCCTGTGCCGACTATCGAGGGAGCGCATGCCGCCACGCAACAGCTGAGAGGGGAGACACTGGTTTGCATCCGAGGGAGCACATGCGCGGCATTTTCAAATGCTCATGCAACAGCTGAGAGAGGAGACACCCGGCATGCCATGACGTCACAGCCCGGGACTTTAAATTTAAAAACTGCGTGGCCCAGCTCCAGGCCCGGCACCTGGTCTTGGGTCACGGAAGCAGCTGGGGATGGAGCAAATCATGTGTGAGGGCACAGGGGCATGAGAGGAATGGGGGCAGAGGTTGGTGAGGGGGTGGGAATCAGAGAAAAAGAGGGCAAAGGGGGCAGGAGCAGTGAGAAAAGGGGAGCACGGGGAGGGTGCAGGGGTAAGGGAAGGTGCAGGTGCAAGGGGATTCTGGAGGTGAAGTAGAAGGGCCAACATCTTTAGGGGAGGGACCAGCACCAGAGGAGAGAGGCAGGGCAGGGGTGTAGAGGGGGGGGTTAGGAGAGGGGGTAGCTCACGTGATCGGAGTGGGCACAGCAGGGAGAGAAGGGCTGGTGGAGGGGGGCAGGTCTCAGGAGGGATGAGGGCAGGATTCAGAACAGCAGAGGAGGGTGAGAGGTTGGGGGGCAGCAGGCACCAGGGGAGCTGATGGAGGAAGGGGAGGAGACATGGCAGCAGATGGTGGGGACATGGGGGGGATGGGGGGTGTGAGATTTAAAGGTGCCATGATTTGGGGGGGTGCTTTTTTTGCTCAATATTTGGACAGCCCCCCTTTTTATTAATGCAGAATTTTGTTAAAAATGGATTACAAAATAATTAAAACAAAAACTAACCAACTAAATTAAGTTTCTATCAAATTTACCCAATGTACATTTAATATGAAAATAGCCTTCAATTTTCTCATTTGACGCCTTTCTTCTATTTTTTTCTCCAAAGGGGGGGCCGAATAATTGCTGAATAATTTAATTAATACCTTTTACATGTAAAATTACCTTTTTTATCTTATGGATTAATATATTATGTAATATTAAATATGACGTTTTCGTATTATTTAATGTACAAATACAAAATAAGCCTTGAAAAATTGTTGGCACCCGCCACACTCTTCTGAAAACATGAATGTGCTATTGGCCACAAAAAGGTTGGTGACCACTGCATTAATGAGTGGACACTAGACTATTTGAGTACTATTAGACTCTTTGTTGTTGTTTAAGTTTTTCCTGTTACAGTCTAACTTGGCTATACCTCTGAAGCTGATAGAAAGTAGTTTGTAAGTACAGTAAAAATGTATTATTTTCAAAACTGGCATGTTTTAATAAAAAGCTTTAGTCATTTAAATGTTCTAATTAATGAAGACACAATTAGATCTAATGTGGTGTCTTCCTGCAAGTCATGAATTCCACTGAAGAATGTTCTGACTTGAGAAGACCTTGCTCCAGTTATTCCCCATTTAAGTTGTCAATTTAAATAGCTAACACTTTTCTGAAGTGGCTGGTAAGATTTATTCCATCTGTATGAATTATTCTATTTTTATCTCTTTTAAAAATTGCAAATGGATGTTTGTTTTTTTCTGAAAAAAGGGGGAAGAATGAACAGATAGCTGTACTGAGAGGAAAAATTGAATTAAAAAAAAAGGATGTGCCATGCCAGAGAAATAGTTTGAATATATTATATACAAAAAATCCTGTTTTAAATAAATTTGACCATTGCAAAGTCAAGCATTCAGAAGTTAGGAAATGCCACAGTTCCTTATTTTGTCTTCCTTGTGAAGATCTATTGTGATAATTTTGCACAGAATCGTATAGAATCATATAGAAGGTCAGTGGCAAATCATTTTTTTTTTAAGAAATTTTGTTTAGAATTCCATGCTTCTTTTTATTACCTTTATATGCAGTAGGTTTCTTGTACCTTAGCTGAGATGTTTTATGTTAACGGTGAGCAGGATATATTGAGACAGGTGAATTAAAATCCAGTACACGAGGTAAAATCTAAATGTACAGTACCTGACCTGGAAATATTTAAAGGTTCTTCTTGCTTGTTCACTGGAGGCAAAGCAATTGAGGATAAATATGTAAATATTTATATAAATAGTTTTATGAAATAATTGTAAACTTTACTGTGCCTCAGCAAGCACAGTGGCATCAACCAGAGTGTCTTTTTTTTCATCGAAACACAATTCCTATTCATTCATTGATCTTTTCAACTCATTACTTCTAAAGCATATTAGTTAAATATACAATAGATGACATAAATATGGGGAATCACAGCCATCCCTTGTGATCTGCTTATATGCTATAATAAAAAAAACCTGATAGGGTAATTGTTTTCTGTTTTAAATAACCTTGATTCATATCCGAAGTAAAAGGTGTTTGGAACCTTTAAAATATGGAGAACCTTTAATATGTGGAGAAGCTTATTATTTTGCATTCTGCAATATTACTGAAGTGTATCCTTTTGTAGACCTTGTACATGAATGTGGAAGAAAAAATAGTTTTTACCTTGACCAGAAAGAGAGAACAACTATGTGTTTCTAAGCTTTAAAGCATCCATCAGGTATTTCCAAGCTGGTCGTTTTTTAACAGAAAATCATGATGTTGCTTTAGTGAACATATAGGGAGAACTAAACCGTATTGTTTATCTTGCGTCCCCCTTGCTTTCTCAAACACTTACATGACAGAAGCATTAAGACTTTCTGTAACCTTTAGCTGTGCAGTTTCACTGTACAGCAAACTACTAGACAAAACCTGACATTTTATTTCATCACTGATCACATTTCCAGTAGACAATAAATATAATCTTCTGTAGACAGATGTATAGAACTGGATATACAGTTATATGGTGAAATCTGGGTCAAGATGCTTTAAATCACAGTTTATGCCTTTGTATTATTGAAATATTAGTATAAAATTCATACAGACTGATGCATGACCTCTTCCTTGCACTTATAAGAGTCCCACTACTCATCCAGACTGTTGCTGGGTACAGTGCCCTGCCGAAAGAATTCTGCTTCATATAGGGCACAAATCAAATAATCATTGATGTCAATGGGATTCTTTCAGTTGGCTTTGAGGGGCTTCAGAGAAGAACCTTACTCTGTTGTCCAAATTGTGATGTTGTACAAAACAAAAAAATGAAAGACTTTCAGATCTCTTATATAACCCTATGCTGTCTTCAGATAGATTTACCTGAAGTAAGTAGAATGTTCACCAAGTTTTTCTACTGTTAGGCGCACAAAATAAAGCTCCCCTTTGAGGACAGGTTCAAACAGCAGGAGGTAAAAATTGTTTCCCCCTCAGAACATGCAAGAGATTAGCATGGGGAACAGAGAGCTCCAAAGGGGTTAGGGTTGCAAAAGCTTTGGAGGACAGGGTCATAATTCAAAATGATTTGGATAAACTAGAAAATAGTCTGAGGTAAATAGGATAAAGCTTAAGTACTCCACTTAAGAAGGAACAATCAGTTACAAACATACAGAATGGGAAGTGATTGTCTAGGAAGGAGTATTGCAGAAAGGGATTGAGGGGTCATAGTGGACCACAAGCTAAAAATGAGTCAACAGTGTGACACTGTTGCAAAAAAAGCAAACATGATTCTGGGATGCATTAACAGGAGTGTTGTGAGCAATACACCAGAAGTCATTCTTCCGCTCTACTCTGCGCTGGTTAGGCTTCAGTTGGAGTATTGTGTCCAGATTTGGGCACCACATTTCAAGAAAGATGTGGAAAAATTGGAGAAAGTGGAAAACAAAAATGATTAAAGGCCTAGAAAACATGAGCTATGAAGGAAGATTGAAAGATTTGGGTGTGTTTAGTTTAGATAGCAGTTTTCAAGTATTTAAAAAGGTGCTACAAGGAGGAGGAAGAAAAATGGTTCTCCTTGGCCTCTGATGATAGGAAGTTTTTCCTTATGTCCAACCTAAACATCCCTTGCTGCAATTTAAGCCCATTGCTTCTTGCGCTAAGTGTCAGGGTGGTTAAACACTGGAATAAATTGTCTAGGGAGGTTGTGGAATCTTTGTTACTGGAAATATTTAAGAGCAGTTTGATAGACATCTATCAGGGATGATATAGACTGTGTTTGGTCCTGCCAAAAGGGCAGGGGACTAGACTTGATGATCTCTCGAGGTCCTTTCCAATTCTAGTATTTTATGAGTCTATTAAAATGGAGTTTTTCAACAAATATATTAGGGATTAGACAAAAAAAAATGCCCACAATATTGCTACATCTGCATCCTTCTCTCCTGCTTCAAACCACAAGCAGTTGTCATGGAAACGACAAAACTTTGGTAACGGTAGTTTAGCTATTCATTATTAGCAACAGGTTTGTTTTTCAATAAGATCATATATTTATCTTTTTAAGACCGCAAACTCTTTACAGAAGGAAACATCTTTTCGGGAGGATGTATGTGTGCAGTGCATCTTTTCGGGGGGATGTATGTGTGCAATGGTGAGAGCTCAAACAATGATTGGGTCTTGTAGGGATTATTGCAATACAAAGATTTAAATATTGTTGTTTGATTTTATTATGTCCCTGTGTTGCTTCCTTTTTTTAAAAGGTCTATGGAAATGCAGGATCTAACAAGTCCTCATAATCTTGGAAGCAGTGATAATCCGGGTAGTTCCAAACTGGATAAATCTAATCTCAGCAGCACATCCATCACCACAAATGGAACAGGAGGTAAGTGTAAGACATCATCAATGCACGGAAAGTTGCTATATATCATTTTGCTATTTTTAATAAACTTTTTAAGTTCAGCATTTCAGTATAGTGGTGAGCATAAGCCAGATATCAGCCATCAACAAGAAAGCTAAATAGAACATTTTAATTGTGTACAGTTGTTTCCTTTTAATTCTGTTCAACAACTTGAAACTTAATGAGGAAAGATATTGGGTCTTAAACCCAGTTGTCTACAAGTATTGAAAGTATAACATAAATAATGGTTGTAATATACCAGTCTTTCTCACCGTATAATGCTCAAAATATAGAAGCCCTAGAAAGGGATCTTATGAGGTCATCTAGTCCAGTCCTCTGTACAAAGGTAGGATCAAGTAAATGTATACTATCCCTGATAGATCTTTGTCTAACCTGTTTAATTACTACTGCTCATTACTTAATTTATTAATTAAATGATTGCTGCTCTGTGTACCACTATAAAGACATCATTGGTGAAGTTTAGATCAATATTACATTTTAATGCTAATAATGGTTTATGCTGCCCTTGGTCTACTGAGTAATCTGAAAATGACAATGCACAGGGTGAACAAAGATATCAAAACAGGTGAAATCCTGGTCCCTGTGGTGTCAATAAGTATTGTGCTATTGATTTCAGCAAAGCCAGGATTTTACCCGTGTTTCTTAGGTTTTGTACATTAGTGTGCACTGCATTGGTATATTACCATTTTATGGTTCAGTTCTTTCTTACCACAATATTTGCTTCTCTCTATGCAAAAATTCCATTAATATCTGTGGAAAATTTACCTGTGCATATGGAGGCAATAGTCCCCTGTAGAAATATCTTTAGATTCAATATATTCACCTTTAAACACCAAATACTGTACTAATGTTCCAGAATAAGAAGGGGCTGAAACTAAAATTAGATCTTTGAGAGCACTAATATTTATATGTATATATTTTACTTAAATAAACCAGCTAGAATAATACTCACAAAAGCAATACCATACAGTTAAACACTAGGCTCAAAGTGCAAAAACACCTACTGGCATTGAAGAATATCCATGTATATTGAGAAGACATTCAGACAATGAATCTTTATACCATTCCCATTCTCAGGAGACAACATGACTGTTTTAAATACTGCAGACTGGTTGCTGAGTTGCAGCACTCCCTCTTCTGCAACAAGTATGAGAGATTATGGTACAATGCATGTGTGTGACTGTGTGGCTCCTGACTGCTGTGTTACATTTCTCTTGATTTCTTTAATTCTTTTTCTCTGTGATTTAGAACATTTTGTATTTGATTTCCTACTTCTCAGAGTCCTTGTACAATGTTGGTAAATCAGGAAGCCACAATAACAAACTTTTTTTTAATCATACTTGTTAAGCCATTTCACTAGAAATAAGAATTTTAATTGTCCTAGAATGAGATTAACTGTACACAGCCTCATAAAACCTAATGGCATCATTTTCAGAGTCTGAGAATCCATAGTTCTGATTGACACGTGAGATGATGTCGGCAGGGGTGGGGCAGCAAACTGTTGAAAATGGTGGCTCTTGTCTAATACCACAGAAAACAACTTCAGATTTGGCCCATTACCACACTAGGGACATATCTCTCAAAAAGAGGACTGTCCTATATAGAACAAGACAAGTGGCCTTCCTGTGATCACCTACGTTAACTCTGTAATAAAGACATACCCTGCGAGGCTGATTTTGAAAGTTTGGCTGAGACCAATTTTCAAATCCTTTCTATGAAGCTGGATTCTCATGCTTTGGACACTCAAACTTCTTTGCATTTACAGTTTTAGGTTTTGCTCATACAAGATCCTGCATGCATGGTTTTGGAGGTCGGTATTGAGGTCCGCTGAATATATAGTCATATTTGATATGCATTTTAATGAAATCCATTGTATTGTGTATCATGTAATCTAAATATTTTAAGATAATGTGTAGAGTTGTTCATAGTACACACACAAATTCTAACCATAATCTATTATTCTGAAAGGCCCTGTTGGAGAATATGACACACATATTTAGCTTTGTATGTTTAGGGACAGAATTAGTCAGGTTTCAGAAAGTTGCCTTTACACCCCCCCCCCCCAAAAAAAAGATGGAAATGACTCCATATGTGCAAGTCAGCCACTATAAGGTATTATAAAAATATCTTCTATTTGTCCCACAGAGGAAGTGCCATGCCAGGATAAATGGCTGCTTATGGGGGCTAGACAGCTATGTGTGAAAGTAATAATTTAGTCTGATTATGGAATAACTCATCTGTTCTAATCTGTTATTTTAGTAAGTACAGGTGAAGGAAAAAGTACATTGCCACACACATCTTAGTTCCTAGCTAAGCGGCAAGGGGGAAATCTAGTGGGTAGACACATGCTACCCCAGTAGGTGTCCTCACTGACCACCTGCATCTGTGGTTGCATAGTATTTGCTTGGTGAACTGTGTGTGATTAGAGTATATGCCTCTGTGTATTGAGTTATGCCATCGGATGTGCATGGCTGCCTTTGGTCTGTTCCCTGCATGTGCTTCCTTTCACACCCATCAATCTTAGATGTTCTGTAACTTTTTTCTCTGACAGTCCCATTAGCACTTCCTCAAGTCCTAGCTAATGATAACCCCATCCAGCATGTATGTTCCCTTGATTGCTCCTGTATTCTTGCACTGGAGTCACAGACTACATCTTCCATTCTCATCTGAGTATAGCATCCCGCCTAAGTCCCACAGCTGGAAAGGTTGCTTGGCTGCACTGACTTTATCCCAGCCCGTTACTGCTGGTCTCCTGTGCTGCGGTGTGTAGCCTATTATCTTCCATTGCTCTTTGAGCAGCATCATCGCTGCCTGCCAGCTACTTTTCTCCATTATCACAAGTCCTCAGGCTTGGATGTTAAGTGAAAGGAGAGCTCACTTAAGTCATTTGGCTAACTTTCTTGTACACCTCCCTGGATTGATCTGCTAAAGGATCCATTGTTGCTTGCTCTCATTGGCCCCTCTTCTCCCTCATCTGCGACTGCTTTCAAATGCAGTAGAACCTCAGTGTTACTAACACCCCAGGAATGGAGATTATTCATGACTCTGAAGTGTTCGTAACACTGAACAAAACATTATGGTTGTCCTTTCAAAAATGTACAGCTGGAACATTGACTTATTAAAGCTTTGCTATGCAGAAGAAAAATGAAGCTGCCTTTCAACCATCTTAATTTAACTGAAACAAGCATATAAGCAGTTTCCTTGCATTAACATTTAAAAAGAAAACTTCCTTTCCCTTTCTGCTGCCTGATTGCATACTTCCAGTTCCAAATGAAGTGTGTGGTTGACCGGTCAATTTGTAACACTGAAGCTCTAGTGTATAAGGCAGAACAACAGTAGTAGAATCTGCTGCCCATCTGATTTATTGTATGGGTTAACCCTCTGTAGTTCAGCACCCTCGGGACCTTATTGGTGCCGAACCAGAGAATTTGCTGAACCACGGGAAGTCAGTATTGTCTAGCAGCTTTTATTAGGCTCTTAAAAGACATTTAGGAGTAAATTAGAGCTAAATATTAGCACAGAACACTGAGGGCCAGCTGTAAACAAACTGCACCAAACTTGGTCAAACCCATGATAAGTGGACATCCAACTAACTAAAATCATGCAAGACCACAAATGTTGCCAGACTAGAGTGTGCTGAACTAGAGAGGTTCAGCCTGTACCATTTCACATTCTCAGTCCTTAAAATATAGTTTATTTGTTAAAATGAAGTTTTGTATGTCATTAGTTTCAGAACACGAGTCAGACAGCTTGGCCATCGTGTGCCATTAAATCAAGTAAATAAAGTCAGTTGTAAAAGATGTTACTTATTGGGAGCTACATTCAGCACTCCAATATACTTCAATTTTATTTTTAGAACTTCTGTTTTGATTTTGATTTAAAATAGGGAATAACTGATGCTTTAGAAATAATACAGAATCTTATTTATACTCTGAAAGCAGTAATTAAAAATGATTTGTAATTCCAGTCTTTGTCACCCTACTCCCTTTCTATGATAGATCTTGTAGCAGTGTCAGAACACTGCGTGATGCCACACACCATGTTGTATATGCTACAAAACCTAGGCAAAATAGTGTGTTTAAATGGTGTGATCTTGTATTTTTATTGCCTTTTTTATTTTAAAGTTGCACTCTTTTTTGTTTGTTTAATGGTTTTACTTCATGGTGTAATTATGTGCAACATGAAAAATAAGGGCAGTATTCCAAAAGTCTAGCGATACAGAGAAAAGATCTTGCTGAATTCCTTACTCTAATAAAAACCGAATGAAACAGATTAGAGCTGTTTTAAAATCAAGGGTATCTCAAAAGATATTTTCCAGATGTACTGTTCACAAAATGTAATTCAAACTTGGTGTTTTTATCAAATTAATTAAAGAGTTAAAAGTGGGGGGGGGGAGTGATTGTTTGGCAGGGAGAGGAAAATTGGGTGAATATCTGTGCCCAGGAAAGTGTGCTGCATGTCATGATGACTGGAGCGAAGGATAATTCAATACATTACTTTTCAATGCCGTACTTTATGCAGTTATGCATATACTGAAGTGCTTTTCTGCATATGTATCAGTCTAGCTAGAAGAGAGAAATGATGATCCTCTGGCTAGGGGCATTAATCTAGGACTTGAGAGATGTAATTTGAATTCCCTGCTCTACTAGAGAGTCTCTATATGATGTTTGGCAAAAAATTAGCATCACTGTGCCTTGGTTTTCCATCTGTAAGCTGGGTTAATAGCACTTCCCTATTTCGTAAGGATATTATAAAAATAAATATAAATAAAGATTGTGAGGTAGTCAGAGACTGCTGTGATGGGAGCCATAGAGAGAGAGAAAAGGAGGTTAATAAAAAGAGCAAAGACTGCAGAAAAGACCAAATTAGGAAACTGCATAATTCTGATATATGTAGAGAGAGGGGAGGCAAGGCCTGAGTCTCTTCTCAATGAAATCAGTAAGAGGTGTTCTCTTTCACAGCACAACTGTCATTTATAGAGCAAATACCCTTAGGTTGTGTTCGTATTAACAGCGATGCAAGACAATCTTTGCCTTATGGAAAAAAAGCCTTCCTTAATTTCTCATATGGATTGTATTTAGTATAAAAATACATTCCCTAAATTTTGGCATACATCTTTTTGTTCCAGCTGCTTTCTCATTGTAAAAACTATTTATTATCAGTGCAAAGAAATGTCACTCCATTTCCACATTTAATCTGAACTATCCATCTCTTGGAAATGATCTCAAGTCAGAGATGCAATGAAATGTAGTATTTGGTTTAAGAATATGCTGTTGATGATGATTTTTTTTAACTCCTTTTAAAAATTCTGTGGAGCAAGTTCAGTGGACTTCTGAAGAAGTAACTCCTCCTTTTGGGTACTTCAGTTGATATTGCTAACTTTGACTTTTTCAGAACCATATTCATGACACTGTTTCCCGGTCATGTGGAGTAGAGAACAGGAGGACCACTGATAGGAGTAAACTACTTTGACCTATTTCTTCTATCCTACACTATGAAGTCAACCAACCACACTGGAGTTGTTCAGGCTGCCAATTTGATAGCACCCTGAAATATTCATAGCCCATATTAAGATTTACATGATTCCTATAAATAGTCAAAAAGTAAATTTCCATAGTCTTTCTTTGAACTTTGAATGTAGACAGTGTCCCAAATTTTATCTCTAATATGTGGCCATGTGTTTTTTGTGGTGTTGCTTTTAAGTATTAATCACCCAACTCACACATTTGCCTATGAAAGCTCCAGTATGGATGTGGGACAAATGTGTGTGTGGGTGTGTAATTTCAAACAGCTACAATAGATCCCATAGTTTGTAAAAGCCATCAAAGAATTTAGCTGAGATTTTGAGGGTTCCTTCCCCAATTTGCTAAGGACTTGTCAATGTTGCGTAATTGATCAGCCAAACAACACTGGTATAATTATACTTCTCTTGTTCAGGTAGTCAATTTTCCATTGTAAGCCCTTAAATTCCTTTGAAAATTCCAGCCTTTTTTGTTCTTAGAATGAAAATGCACAATATACCACATGTCTAATAAAACATAGAAGGCCTGATTCTAATTTATACTTAGCCCCTTATATCACTAGCTTTGTAAAAGAGCCTTAAAATTAATGAAAACCAGCCCCTCCCTCAGTATTTATCAACTGGTAAATAATATATGCTGTAAATATGCACATCTACTTACCTGAGTGTTGTGAATGTAACTGTGATAATTTTAGCTATAATTTTTAATTTTCCTAGGGCAGCTTAGCCTCTGATAAAAGCAGACATCTCTGTTGGGAAAAAGTTTGCACTGTGAAAAGCAATATGCTGCTAGAAGAGAACAAAAACATATTGTACTGGTTCTCAAGCATAACTATTTTTTATATGCTATATACTCTTTTCTCTTTCCTGTTCACTGGTTTTCAGGAATTGCTAGAATCAATTAGATTTAGATTGCAATTAATCAGATAATTATCAAAGTCTTTCAATTAGATACATAAATAGATGTTCTATCCTACACTATGAAGTCAACCAACCACACTGGAGTTGTTCAGGCTGCCAATTTGATAGCACCCTGAAATATTCATAGCCCATATTAAGATTTACATGATTCCTATAAATAGTCAAAAAGTAAATTTCCATAGTCTTTCTTTGAACTTTGAATGTAGACAGTGTCCCAAATTTTATCTCTAATATGTGGCCATGTGTTTTTTGTGGTGTTGCTTTTAAGTATTAATCACCCAACTCACACATTTGCCTATGAAAGCTCCAGTATGGATGTGGGACAAATGTGTGTGTGGGTGTGTAATTTCAAACAGCTACAATAGATCCCATAGTTTGTAAAAGCCATCAAAGAATTTAGCTGAGATTTTGAGGGTTCCTTCCCCAATTTGCTAAGGACTTGTCAATGTTGCGTAATTGATCAGCCAAACAACACTGGTATAATTATACTTCTCTTGTTCAGGTAGTCAATTTTCCATTGTAAGCCCTTAAATTCCTTTGAAAATTCCAGCCTTTTTTGTTCTTAGAATGAAAATGCACAATATACCACATGTCTAATAAAACATAGAAGGCCTGATTCTAATTTATACTTAGCCCCTTATATCACTAGCTTTGTAAAAGAGCCTTAAAATTAATGAAAACCAGCCCCTCCCTCAGTATTTATCAACTGGTAAATAATATATGCTGTAAATATGCACATCTACTTACCTGAGTGTTGTGAATGTAACTGTGATAATTTTAGCTATAATTTTTAATTTTCCTAGGGCAGCTTAGCCTCTGATAAAAGCAGACATCTCTGTTGGGAAAAAGTTTGCACTGTGAAAAGCAATATGCTGCTAGAAGAGAACAAAAACATATTGTACTGGTTCTCAAGCATAACTATTTTTTATATGCTATATACTCTTTTCTCTTTCCTGTTCACTGGTTTTCAGGAATTGCTAGAATCAATTAGATTTAGATTGCAATTAATCAGATAATTATCAAAGTCTTTCAATTAGATACATAAATAGATGCATGTGTGGCCATTTCAGAAAGTTCATAGCAGATTGTTCTCATAAAATTCTAAACTTTTCAATCGCATGTCTGTTCTAGCTGGACTGCCACTCGTGACACTGGCATGAGGTCTCTGATGTAAATTTAGAAATAAAATCTCATGTCTACTTATTCTTCTATGTAGTGTCTCTTCTTGCAGTCAAAACAGAGCCTATGAACAGCAGTGAAACCACCACCACTACCACAACTGGAGATGGATCGCTTGACACTTTTACTGGGTCAGGTAAAGCTATAATAAGATCACATGTTATGAGATACACACTAGTACAGCATTGGTAACTTTCACTATGAACATGTCAGTGCATGGAGAACTTCTCTTAAATTTTGTGAAAGTTATAAAGTAGCTTTAATACCAAAGAGTAATAATGCCTTTTTTGAAAACACCTTAACTTGCAATTCTTATCAGCTATGTTCTTAAGAAACTTATATTTACAGTCATTCTTGTGTGCAAGAATATTTAAGTAACAATGGTCACAATTGACCTATTTTTATAGTTTGTAGGTTCATATAATATCAGCGAGAGTAAGAAAAAACCAGATTGTAATTATTGTAACCAAATTTTAATAGCAATTATAATTTATAGAATTTAAATCTGAAGACTATATTGCTTTAGTAATCCTAACCTTAATTCCAGTAGTGCTTATTAGCTGATGAGGCTGTCCTAAATTATCTTATCCAGGGATCTCAATGTGAAGTATCTGTTTGATTCAATATAAATAAACTTTATCTTCCCAGTTGTTTTTTAAAAAAAAAAGCATTATTTGCAAGTAGCTGCCTGAAAAGAATTAAAGGTACAAGAAAGTACATATTTTTTGCATTATAATTCAATATTGGCTTTTGGTCATGTTAATATTAAAGCAGAATAATAATCCACCTATAAACATCTTTGAAACACATAGAAACTAGTATGAGTCAACAAAAACTCTCCATTGACTTCAGTAGATTTTGGATCAGGCCCATTACATCCAAGTTCTCATGGCACTTACAGAAAGCTGAGAATAAGTTAGCTTTGTTATTGAGGATATGATGTCCCTAGGGTTGTTTACAGAAGTTATGTGTATAGAAGATGAAGGTTTGGGTCAGCTGAAACTTTTTGTTAAAATAATTCCAAAATGTTTTGTATTGATTTTAATCTTTTTTCTTTCCTTTTAAACTTTTTATTAATCTAAATATCTTAAATTCTGAAACAAAGTAATTTCATGCAGGAAAACTGTTTGGGTTTTTTTGGTCTAAAAGAGGTCAAAACAAATTATATAGACAACTTAAAAACTTTGTTCAACTTATACGTTGAAAGATTTGTCAAAATGGACTCATGAACAGTTTCATTTTGCCAAATCAGAAGTTTTTAGACAAAAATGTGATTAGTTGAAAAATTCACAACCAGCTGAAAGAATAGTGGTTTTGTTTTGATTGTGTAGCTTTTATTGATCCACACTCTAGCTTTAAGGAATCTGGGCTTGACTAGGGTAAGAATTTCAGGAAGAGTTGCTTAGAGATAAATTCCTGAATTCATATTTAGGCACCTAAATAAGTACCTGATTTTCAGTGTTGAGCATCCCTCAGCTGCCAGGAAGAGGATGTACATGTGTTTTTTAATGGCAGCTACATGTAGCTTTCCAAATATACCAGCTGAAACAGAGAAATACTTTTTTTCCACATTCTTTTTTTGTTGTTGTTGCTTAGTATCTATGCACAAAGCTGCCAAATGTGTAGTCACTGGGAAGCCTGGCTTAAGGGCAAGTGAATGTAGTGGATCTAATTCTTGTTAAATAAAGCAACAAGATGTTCCTCTGACAAATACCAGCAAATTGAACACCCAATCTCTGGGGAAGTCATAATGTCAGCATTGCCGTATAGCTTTAAAACAATTAAATCGATCATAAGGCTCCCTCTCTTCTGCAGAAAACATGCCCTGTGGATTCAGGCTTGCAGTCAGAGATAGTCAACCCCAGGAAGGGGATATATGTGGGAGTATGATGGGGGAGAGGAAATAATTCTGGATTGATAGGGTGTCCAGATCTGTGAGCTTCAGCCATCTAATCTCTTCAATTTACATGAATAGATAGATATAAGTATAAGACATCAGACTACAATCAGGAATATTCAAGAACTCTGATTCAGCACTTAAACACAAACAACCCCATTAAAGAGATTTACACAATGCTTAAAACTGTGTGTTTTAAACAGCCCTATATTAAAATGAATAGGAAATGTCACATCTCAGACACAATAAACTAATGTTAATGATAAGAGAGAAACCATTTATCATTAATAAATTTAGAGTTAAACTATCCTTGAAAGTAGGAATAAGGGATCTTGCAGAAAAGGGCTTATTTTCCGCAAGATCCCGTCTAGACTGGCGCTTTTCTCCGGCAAAACCCCGAGCCGGAAAAAAGCGGCAGCCATGTTCATGCAAATGCCGCGGGGGAGATTTAAATCCCCCACGGCATTTGCAATTTCGACTGGTCTCATTAGCATCCCTTTTCCGGAAAGGGGTGCCAATGTAGACACAGCCTCAGAGGATTGTACAACACACTATCACGTTACCACTGAGGAAAATATTTGTCTCTCCAGGTTAACTGTGGAGACAAATCAATTGTTCACCATTTCTACATATAATGGTATAGCTATGAAGAATTTGGTTTTGGTATTTAATACTGTATGAAGTTCAGGAAACTCTGGGATATGGTAATGGACTATATTGGGCAATTACAATGTACTAGATACATGAAGCTACAAGACACTGAGAGAGTTTTTAACTCTGAATTTTTTTCTTTGATAAATTTGCCTTGACTGCAGTGTTAGTTCAGCATACATTTTTGTGTTTAAATTAGGTGAATTTGAGAATTAATAACAATTTTAACGGAGCAGCAAGCAACTTCTAGGCTTTCTAGTTTCATCACTTTTCAGTAAATATTTATTATACACAAAAAACTTTGTTAGAATATTATTATGGCTGCAAAATCCACATTCAAAAATTAGTAAATGGAAAATTAAGGTTGTCTGCATAATCTGTTTGCCCCCTTAGTGCTTAGGCATTATGATGTATTCTTTAATTCAAAGATCACATACTAGTTTTTCCACTGGACCCTCTGCCTCATTCAGGGCACAGAATGGGTACTGCTGACTTAATGAGCAGCTATTCAGTGTTTTGTGTTTTCCTCACTGCTTGTTACTCAATACATGGCCTCAGGTTTTATTTACTGCATACTGTTCAAACCCCTCTATGAAGACAGAAAAGTCTATGAAGAAATTAATAATTCTAGGGTGCTCATCACTGTAAAAAAAAAACTCACAAAAATAAATGTATTTATTTCATACCTAATTTGATGGTATCATCACCATTTTACAGATGGTTGAGGCACACAGGTACTGACTCTTAATGGCATGTAAGCTCCTAATTTCCATTGAATCAGTTAGGAGACTAAATAACTTTGAGACTCTGAGCCAAGGAGATCATCTTTTTGAGTGTCCAAGTAGAGAAAGCTAAGTCCTGATAATTTAAAGTTTTTAGCATTTTATAGCTCTTTATCAGTTTGTGATGGTTCAGGACCCATGGGGTGTCACCTGCAGTGCTTAGACACTACAGAGCCCCCTTTCTCTATTGGCCTAGACCCTTTTTTAGCTGGTCTTATTGAATCAGGCTCTCCAGTCTCCTCTAGAAAAACCCATGTGCTAGGGCCACATTCAGCTGCAGATTCAGACACTAAGGTCAGCTCTGGGAGGATTCGGCTTCAGGGATTTACTCCAGTCCCTACATGTTCACCTCTCCTATAGGGTACCAACCCAAAATTAAATGAAGTTCATCTCCAAGTGTCTCTTGGCCTGGGTCTAGCATTTCTTCCCCTCTCCCCACTTCAGTCACAGTCCTTTTATTTCCAGGTGTTTTCAAATATCTCTTTCGAAATGGGGAGGCAGAGGGAAAACAATCTGAAGCCAATCATTGTTTTCTTTTCCTGCCTTGTATATAATTCCCATAAGGTGGGAAATCCTTACATGGAAAAGTACAGCATTCAAGATGGGTTTCAATATTAGTTGACATGGTCATACGTCTGTGTAGGCATCTTTGCAAGAGGACTAAACATTTTACAGTCCATAGTCTATTGCTAATGGGCCATCAGCATTGTCCTTTTGTATTTTGAAGGACAGGTAGCAGGCTTCACCCAGAATGTAATATAAATCTACAGTCCATATTCATAGAATAATTGAACTGGAAGGAACCTCAAAGTCATCAGGTCCAGTCCCCTGAACTCCTAGGAGGCCCAAATGCTATCTAGACCAGGGGTGGGGAACCTAAGGCCTGTAGTCGGGATGCAGCCCCAGGCTTTTCCGGGTACTTCTCCTGAGGTTTGGGGTTACCCCCCAGCATTGGAGAGCCCATGCTGGAGGATGCAGCCCCAGGCTTTTCTGGGTACTTCTCCTGAGGTTTGGGGTTCCCCCCCAGCATTGGAGAGGCCATGCTGGTGCTCCAGCTCCGCCATCAACCCCCTACACACAAAATCTACTAGCCTAGGCCTCCCAAGGCTCTGGTGTGCAATAAGGATGTAAGTGACTAGTTGACTATCCTATAAGCAAAAGAAGAGGCAGCAAGGAGGATGGAGCAGAAGTCAGTGCTGGTTCCCCCAGCACCGTCTCCACTGGGGGGGGTGGAATCCGGAGTAGCAGGAAATCCTGGCTCACACTCAGTCCTAGACACTGCACCTCTACTTTTTTAAATGTATTAAAAGCCTGATAGCTCTTAATACATTTACAAATCAGAAGTTGAGCAGGGGGACCCAGCACAAGCTGGGACAGCTGATTCCCGGCTCATGCTGGGTCCCTATGCTGTGCACCAGCCTTTTAAATATATTAAGAGCTATCAGCTTTTAATACATTTGGCCAGGGAGAGGGAATTAATAAACTTTGTTGAGAGTGATTTCAGTGTAGCACAAAGGGCAGATGCCAGATTGGGGAGAAACTCCAGACAATGATTACGGACAGTATGTTACATGAACGTAGAGCTGTCAAGGAGATGAGATGGTGAATAAAGAGGTGAGGGTTTTTTTAAAGGTGGAAAACATTAATGTGTACTTGTATTGAAAGAGGAAAAATCACGAGAGGGAGAGGTGAAGGAAGGAACAAGCGTTGACTCAACAGAGAGCAAGAGATGGGATGGAGTCAGTAGGGTTAATGGAAGAGGTAGCAAAGGAGAGCGGATCAGAAAGTACGCATGCAAAGGAGTAT